GGAACCGGGATCCCTACCTTCCGCGACCCCCCTCCGGTACCTGTATCCCGTCCCGGTAACCGGGACCCCTACCTTCTGCAGCCGGTAGAGGTACCCGGGACCCCCCTCCGGTACCCGCCTTCCGTCCCAGTAACCGGGACCCCTGCCTTCTGCGACCCCCCTCCGGTACCTGCATCCCGTCCCGGTAGCCGACACCTCTAGCTTGGGTAGTCCCCGCCGCTACCCGGGACCCCCCTCAGGTACCCGCCTTCCGTCCCGGTAACCGGGACCCCTACCTTCTGCGACCGCCCTCCGGTCCTCGCCTCCTGTCCCGGTAACTGGGACCCTCAGCTCCTACAGTCCCCGCCGTTACCCGCCTTCCGTCCCGGTAACCGGGACCCCTACCTTCTGCGACCGCCCTCCGGTCCTCGCCTCCTGTCCCGGTAACTGGGACCCTCAGCTCCTACAGTCCCCGCCGTTACCCGCCTTCCGTCCCGGTAACCGGGACCCCTACCTTCTGCGACCGCCCTCCGGTCCTCGCCTCCTGTCCCGGTAACTGGGACCCTCAGCTCCTACAGTCCCCGCCGTTACCCGCCTTCCGTCCCGGTAACCGGGACCCCTACCTTCTGCGACCGCCCTCCGGTCCTCGCCTCCTGTCCCGGTAACTGGGACCCTCAGCTCCTACAGTCCCCGCCGTTACCCGCCTTCCGTCCCGGTAACCGGGACCCCTACCTTCTGCGACCGCCCTCCGGTCCTCGCCTCCTGTCCCGGTAACTGGGACCCTCAGCTCCTACAGTCCCCGCCGTTACCCGCCTTCCGTCCCGGTAACCGGGACCCCTACCTTCTGCGACCGCCCTCCGGTCCTCGCCTCCTGTCCCGGTAACTGGGACCCTCAGCTCCTACAGTCCCCGCCGTTACCCGCCTTCCGTCCCGGTAACCGGGACCCCTACCTTCTGCGACCGCCCTCCGGTCCTCGCCTCCTGTCCCGGTAACTGGGACCCTCAGCTCCTACAGTCCCCGCCGTTACCCGCCTTCCGTCCCGGTAACCGGGACCCTCATTTCCCGTACACCTGTCCGGGACTTCTCTTCCTGTTTCCCGTCCCAGTATACCTTCCGCAGCCCCTGCCGGTTACCGGAACCCCTCTCCGGTACCCACCTCCTGTCCCGGTAACCGGGACCCCTACCTTCTGCAGCTGGTAGAGGTACCCGGGACCCCGCTCTAATACCCCCCTTCCGTCCCGGTAACCGGGACCCTCAGCTCCTACAGTCCCCGCCGTTACCCGCCTTCCGTCCCGGTAACCGGGACCCCTACCTTCTGCAGCTGGTAGAGGTACCCGGGACCCCGCTCTAATACCCACCTTCCGTCCCGGTAACCGGGACCCTCAGCTCCTACAGTCCCTGCCGGTATCCACCCCCCATCCCGGTAACCGGGACCCTCAGCTCCTGCAGTCCCTGCCGGTATCCACCCCCCATCCCGGTAACCGGGACCTCCACGTCCCGTAGACTTGTCTGGGACCCCCCTCTGGTACCCGTCTCCCGTCCCGGTAACCGGAACCCTCAGCTCCTACAGTCCCTGCCGGTATTCACCCCCCATCCCGGTAACCGGGACCTCCACATCCCGTAGACCCATCCGGGACTCCCCTCCTCCCCTCCCCGTCTCCCATCCCGGTAACCGGGACCCCCCCACAGCCTCTGCCGGTACCGGGAGCCCCTCTTTGCTCTGTCCCCCGTCCCGGTAACCGGGACCCCCCCATGTCCCACAGGCCAGTCCGGGACCCCTGTCTATTCCTCCTGTCCCGGTAACCGGGACTTTCCCCCCCTCCGGGGGTGCTGGAGGGAGCTGCACCCCGAGCCCCCCCATTCTGGGGGTGGGGACCCCGCTGGCCCCGGGGGGGTACGGCCCCAGCACCCCTGGGTGGGAAGGGGCAGGAGGAGCTTTGGGGTGTCACCCCCCAAGTGTTGGGGGGGGCTGGTGGTCCCCCCCCACGTCAGCACTGGCTGCACCCCCTGGCCCCCCCACCTTTGGGGTGAGCCCTTCCCTGGGGGTGTCACGTCATCCCGGTGGGGACAGGGCTGGGGACACAGGTTTGGGGACCCCCTTTCCGCCGCCTTTTTGGGACGTTCAGGAGAAATTCGGTCTGAGGGGACGTGCCCCCCCCTCCTACCCCCCCAGTGTGATTTTTGGGCAGGACGGGGGGGGGGCTGAGGGGTGGCAGTGCCCGGTGGGCACCGGCTCCTGGGGACACCACGCTGCCCCGTACCTGGGGACACCACGTTGCCCAAAATTCCCCCAAATGGGGGGGTAGCACCCCAGAGAAATTGGGGGGGGGGTCTCTGGGGTCTCCTCTCTGCTTCATGGTGGTGCCATGGGGCCGGTGGCTACCGTGGCCAGCCCAAGTGGTGCCAGCCCGAGTGGTGCCAGCCACGTGCTCTGCTGCCCTTCCCACCACGGCTTTTCAAACTTGAAGGTTTTGGGGATTTTTG